TTTCATTATATTCTGAAATTGGTTTTAAATTCTTCCCTTGTAAAATATGCGAGATAACTTGTTCTTCCTTATCAAAAGCTTCATTCGATTGATCACAATAAAAGTTCATGCAACTTTTCAAGGAAATTTCAACTTTGCTGATAATAACGTCTGATTTTAATGAATAAATATTCATTGGTATCGAAACAGGAGTTCCAAGTTGAAAATATTTTTTTGGTGGTAATTGGAATACATAAAACAACCCATTTTTTAAACCTTCGATTTTATGAGGAGAAACATTTGTATGATTCAAAGTTATGGCATTTTTAAGTGGGCACTTGATTTTAACCATATCATCTTTAGAATTAAATAATCCGCTCTTCCTGGTTACGATAGCGCGTAAATTATAACTTACGGATCCCACCCTTGTCTCGATTGTTCCTGGAAGGTTATTAGGTAATTCTATATTAAAATGAACTTTTAATTGATCAATTGAATCGTCCGTCTCTGGTTCAAAAATTACATGAGTCATGTCAACAAGTACACGCTCTCCTTCACAAGGTTTTATTGATTCTGCCTTAATCCATAAAGTTTTTTCTAACCCTTTTAAACGCAAGCTAACCCGTTTTACTTGTTTACATTTTTGATAATTAAGATGTAAATAACCGATCAAGTAACTTTTCACGTCTTCACCAAGTATTACTTGTTGAAAGGAATAACTATCTTTTTCATATGAAAATGTTATTCTTTTATTTGGGTTTAAATAATCATCTAAAGGTGGGCAGTTTATTTCTAAATTTGTGGTCATTTTATTTTAAAACTAAGGAAAACTAAGAAAATAAATTATTTATCGGATTCTCATAAAAATGTACAAAAAGAGCTTTCGAAAAAAAAAAAAAATTTCTTTTTGTATTGTCGTAAACCTAATTAGTGCTAGAATCATCAAGATTAAAAAAAAAAAAAAAAGATACAAAGGAAATGGTTTATAGAAGTTCTTTGTTGGGGGGCTAATCATTTACCAAATCAGGTCTTATTGAAAAACCCTCTTTGTCTACGGCTGTTTCACAATCAAAACTTTAAACTAAATTTAGAAAAGATATAATAAAAAGATAAAAAGTAAAGTATCCTTGTTAAAAAAAAAAAAAAAAAAAAAATCACAAAATGTTTGATTTTACAAATATCTTTAACAACAATGTTGAAATAATGGTTCAAATCATAAACGAAACTCCTACGAAGCATTTTAAATAGGTTTAAATCTAACGGATAATTTATCCATTGTTCGTAAAGAACTCAAAGAAAAAGGTATCATTAATGATTCATTATTCTTTTTAAAGAAAATTCTGAATCCAATAATGATGATAAATATTCTGGAATACCACTTGAAAATGAAGAAAATTCTCTTCTAAATGATGTTATAGAAGGAAATAATAAGATTCTATATTTAATGAAAAATTCGAATCAAGACTGGGAATTTCTCAATGAATCCCATCATTTAGATTATGGATGTACCATGACTATTGATGAAATTAAGAAAGGCTATCGAAAAGCATTTATAATGAAAGATTGTAAAATGACCGAAATTGGTGTCGAGGGATGTCGAAAAGGAAAAATTGAATTTAATTCAAGATCGAATGATGATGAAGAATTTATTCTTTATGAACGATACTAATGTAGAGAGTTTTATAAATCTGGGAATAACT